CGCTGGAAAATACTTGTTCCTGGTTCAGACCGGAATCTTACCGAGAGGATGTCCAGACAGGCGCAGCCATCAAGGATGAGAACGAGAAACGACACCTCTATCGAAATCTTGCCAGTGCAGCCGAGTCTGGATGGGATTTTTCTATTCGATGGTTTGCCGACAATGCGAATTTGGCCTCAATTGAGACCACCAACATTATTCCGGTTGATCTCAATGCTTTTATATGCTATAACCTTCACATCCTAGGTAACCTTCATAATGTAGTTGGTGAGTTTTTCAGGATTTCCAAGCAAAATCTAATTTTTTTGAAAAAGCCTTCCTTTTAGGAAACGCACGCAAAAGCGCCACATGGATCTCCGAGTACATCAAATTTCGAGATCAATTTCAAAAAGTTTTCTGGGTTGATAACGAGAAGGGATGGTTCGATTTCAATCTCAGAACTAAACAACACAACACCGCTTTCTACGCTTCAATAGCTGCACCACTTTTCACTCAATGCTATGAACCACTAAGTACAAGTAAAGCTGACGATCTTTACAACAAATTGGAAGAGACAGGCGTGTTTAGCTTCAGCGGAGGACTTCCGATGAGGTGAGATCTAATCTTTGGATACTAAAAGGTTTTCATAGACGAAATTTACCGCATTTCAGTATGCAAAAGCAAAGCACACAACAGTGGGACTTTCCCAATGGCTGGCCTCCTCTTAATCACATGATGATCGAAGGATTGCGAAAATGTGATGATCCCAGGTGAGTTCAGCGTGACGTGTTACCCATGAAAAATTATAATCTTTCCAGAATGCAACAAAAGGCCTACGTACTTGCTGAAAAATGGATACTTGCCAATTATAAAGTTTTCCAAGCAGATAAAGCCATGTGGGAAAAATATGATGTTGTAGCTACAAAACCACGCATAGGCGGTGGAGGAGAGTATGAAGTTCAGGTCAGTAAGAATCCATGAAAGTATTCTATTACGTGCATCATCCCTTGATTGAAACTCAATATGAAAAAGCAAAAGGTGATCTAGGTTCAATTCAGTTTCTAAGCTCTGTTTTCAAAGCAATAACAACTACGAATGATGTTCTATCTGATTGTTTCCATGGTTGACGGCATTAGAAAATTGAAGGAAGAGTTTTCACTTATCAAAAAATTCGCATGAGGATTGCATTGTAACACGACATGATTGAAGAAGCGACCGAATGAAAAAAAAATGAAGGAATTAATAAATAGATAGATTGATGCGACAATACACAGGTGGAACTAAGGAAATGGCTATTAAATCAAACGGCCTACTCATTGCACAGTTTGAATATTCGAAAATTGTTTGAAAGTACAAAAATATATAAAATTGACACACTTAAGTGTTCAAGAAGTCTCGAATATTAGTAACAGCGAGCACATGTTTCTTTTAGAAAATCAATTAGAGATAATTTATGGATTCGTTGCCAGATCGCACCATGCAAGTGCCATGTAAAGTCATTCATAGTTAACTTATTATTTATTTCAGCCCGGATTCGGCTGGACAAATGGTGTTGCACTTGATTTGTTAATCACCTATGGCGATCGGTTAAGCACAGTAAGTGCAACTACTGCAAGTCAAGAGCGATCTTCCTCAGAATCAAACAAATGCTTTACAGCACTTCTCATCATTACGGTTATTTCGAGCTTTATGTATTCACACATTCTTTGAACTGGTATTTTACATTGTTAGGCGCAGATTTATGTATATAAACAGTTTGCTTACTTTATTTGGCTAATAATGACATACCTCGTCCTGTTTGTCCTATAACTCCGAATGACCAACTTTCATCAACGAACACACGAACCTAAAAAGTGATTAGATGATAAAACAATTTGTTTTTTCCTGTGCTTTGTTTCGCCTTAGTACATTTGTCAACAGCTGTCGCGTGATCATTTCAATAAGGCAAGATGTCCCTGAATATCACCTGAGCAATGATCGACAGAGGCTAAGGCTGACAGTTAGCTAAATGTAGATTGACAAACAACTTTTTCAAAATGCTTAAAGACTTCGCAAAGGAATTACGAAGAACTAAAAATTCTCTGTTTTTTTCCTATGCGTCACCTCTCTAGAGTAACGTCAAGATAAATGCATTAGATGCGGATTTCGTATGCAATCACAATAAAAATCAAAAAAAAAAGCGGCTATGTAGTCCTCATAAAGTGGGGATGTGCACTTTCTTTCATCAAAAAAAGAACATGAATGCTCCTTTCTTCGTTAGTTGGTTAAAAGCAACACCGTGACAATTAACAATCAAAACAATCTCGTCTGAAGAAAGCTGAGAGCGCTATAGACTGATGAAACTTTCTAATTGATGGAACAAAAGCTCCAGCCAAATTCACGATATGACTTATCTTTTCGACTTTTCTCCGATTATTTATTTCAGCCAAATGACGTGTAAGTCTACTATGCCAATCTACTCTTCAGATAAAGAGAAATGAATTAACTCAATTATTAGGTTAATTCGAAAAGTTTTATAAAAAAATTTTTGGATTTTGTTCTAGCTGTGGTGACTGATAATCTTTTTACATATTTTGACCCGATATGGTAGTGAACTTTTCCTGAGCAAGACACACAATAGACTTTCATTGATGGAAATCGCAGCAACGACCCTCATCTCAAGAAGTGTTTACAAAATTGTTTCTCGCTCACATGAAGCATCAATTAACGAGTGTTATCAGATAGGCTAACACCTAAGGATATGGTTGTTAAAGAATATGTCCGGCTCGACTTTACAATTTTGCGAAGATAAAGTAGTCAAGAATATTGACGCGACAAAAATCATTATCTTTTTTGGACTTTTTCTGCTTAATTTTGAGCAACCTGTGTAGCCGATGAGCGTGGTCAAAAGTGGCCAATGTTGAGTCATAAATCACTTCAAACTAAACCTTCCTTCAATATTTTATCTGTTGTACTGATCTATCTGATTTATAAACCTACCTACCTACCTAACCTATATACTTACATTGAAGTCAATTGATGACAAATAGTTCATTAGGTAACAGTGGCACAACTAAGATCGCCCGTTTCGTGACACTAGTCCTTTTATGGCAAATCACAAAACGAAGTTGTCTGCTCTGCACCTGTTATTGTACTCGTGCCAGAAATTGCTAATCTAATGCGTTACATCAATATTTTCCTAAAAAATCTCGGAGTGGCAGCCCTCGTTAACTACCAACAAAATTTATACAATATTTTCAACAAAGCAAAATTATGCGGAACAGCAAAAAAAA